GGGAGACTAGAGCCTGGAGAAGAGGGAGCTGAAGTTTCAGATCTTGCACCGACGATCCAAAGAATGCCTTTTGCTCTCACAACCACCAATCATCGTCGTCCTCCCGCTTCATTAGCCTACAACCATCATCAAACCTAGCTCACCGGCTGACGTTGACCATCGTCGGCCTCTGGCGCTTGCAACTGCAGACCAACTCTAGCTATCGCAGCCTTTGACCAACTCCGGCAGCTGTTGCTACATGCGACCATCTCCAACCGCCGCCACCTCCTCTGGTTAACTCTGGTTGTTGCTGCTACTTGCGATAATTCTAAACGAATACTTTTCAGAAACTGGAGAAAATGCTTCTTTATAATCGATGCCAACTTTTTGAGTTAAATCTTTAGCAACAAGTCTAAGCTTTATATCGTTTAATATTATCATTTGAGTCGCGCTTAGTCTTAAAGAACCATTTACACCTGACTCTTTTACAACCTTAAGGCAATTCAATGACATCCTAGACTTTATTGTGATCCATCGATTTCAACTCATCTTTCATTGCATCTAACCATTTAGAAGAATTTGCATTTTCAATGGCTTGTGAAAATGAAACTGGATCTTCATTGACTCCCCAGTCAAATTCAAACTCATGTAGATAAATCACATAATCATCAGAAGTAGCAGACCTTCTTTGTCGTTGAGACTGTCTAGGCATAACTTCATGTGGTTCATCTAATGTAGGTTCATTAGTGATAGTTTTATTATGAGGTGTTCGATCATTTATCTACTGTTCATGTAAGTTGTCAGACTATTCAACAACTATAGAAATAACAACTTGAGAAAAAATTTTAGGTAAAAGAACTTCAACCCTAATTTCTTGGATTTCCACTTTACGTGATTCCAAATTTTTACTAACTTTACCATTTTCAAAAGATCCACAAACGTCAGTGTTTATAATTTCAAGGAGCTGTGTTTCTTGTGGCATCTTTCTTAAGTGTGTGTTTTGTATGCTTTCCGTTAATACAATCCACACAAATGCTAAGATCAGTGAAATCTAAACCATTAAGGATTCCATTCTATATCAATTTTTCAATTCTTTCTTTGGATATATAACCCAAACGTTTATGTCACAAATAAGCTGAAGTTTTATTCATAAAATCACATTTAGTGCCAACATTATGATACAAGGTCATGAAAGTCTCAACAAAAAAAAAATTATCAAGTTTAATTTTATATAGATCATCACAGAATACCAAAACCACTAAGATTATTGTGTTTAATTAAATTGAAACACCCATTCCCAAATTTAAAAGAGTATCTAACATAATCAAATTTATATAGTGAAATTAAATTATGAGAAACAAAAGAGACATAAAGTGTTTGAAAGAGGTCTAAATGATGTCCAATATCTAAAATTAATCGATAAGTTCTAATGGCTTCAACCAAAGCTTTGACTCGGTTTCCCATGAAAATAAACTTTTCATTTGGGTTTACGATTTGGTTATAAGAAATCCCTACATAATGGCTTCAACCAAAGCTTTGACTCGGTTTCCCAAGAAAATAAACTTTTCATTTGGGTTTATGATTTGGTTATAAGAAATCCCTACGTCCCTACATCGTATTAGAAACAAGAGTGATACAACCAGAATCATTTACTAAGCATCATAAAAAACTTCTGCTAAATTTGATTCAAATATACAGAAACACATGGCTTACCTTTCTTTTCAAACCAGTCTTTGTGTTTCTAACATTCATTTTGGTAGTGCCCAGAATTTATACAAAAATGACACTTAATTTCTTTATGTTCATCTTTGTGAATTGGGACAGATGACACAATAATCTTTAGTTATCCTTCTCTTTTTCATTCATCTTTCCAAATTTCTTTAAAGCTTTTCTTTCAGGACCCATGAGATTAATAAAGTGATTTTTTTCTGTCTTAAGCCTTGCTTCCCCTTGATCTTATCTTTCATAGTGTTATATTTCATGTGAAACGACCCATACTCAGGAGACAAGGAGTTAATGACAATCTGCACAAAAAAATTTTCATTCACTTCATTCCCAAGGTTTTGTCTTGTTGCTATATTCGTCATTTCAACGACATGCTCATGCATAATACGAAAACCATCAAATTTCATATTGTTTGATGTACTCAATAGTGTCCCAGCATGAGACTTATCAATAAAGTCAGACTGAGAATATTCCTCAACAAATTTCATGAATTACTTAACATTTTCAGCATTAAAAATTGTACACTTTATATGCTGTTTACTACAACCATTTACATAAACATTAAGCTCAATCTGTTCGATTTCTCCCAAATTTTATAAAAAGATTTTTGCTTAGCTTTGCTAGAATCAGTAGGAGCAGGGTACATCTCAATAGTTGTACCGAAGCAAGATCCAGAACACTAAGGTGAAACTAGACTTGCTTCTACAATTTAGAGAAATTAAGCTCATTGAATAAATGTAACTTGCAAAAGAAGAGAAATGGGAGTAGATACTGCAAATAAATAGAACATGCTCATACATTAATGCCCTGAGTATTAAACTTAGACAAATATGCATATGCAATCAGATTAAATGAAAAATTTAATAGTGGATTGAAAATATCTTCTGGGTGATATAAAAATACACAATAATAAACATAATTGATGCTTGAATTGTTAGCATAATATAATTGACAATTATTTATACACAAATTAGACATGTTTATTTTCTTTGGATACATAAACATATCCAACCAAGTATATAAATATGTCACAATTATATTAAAAAATTATAAAACAAATTATCAACCTTTAGACGATCCATAAAGATTTTATAATCAATGAATTTCAATATACCCATAATAAAATAAAAAAAAATTATTTCGTAATAAACATCAGATACTTATGAGTAATTGAAATTATTTAATTTGACACTATTAAACATACTAGTTTGGCCACTTTAGTGACTTACAAATTAAACAAGATATAGACATCAAATAAACAATAATTTGTCAATTTATCTATTAACTTTAGTGATCTAATTTCAAGATCTAATTTACAACCGAAATTTTATGCAATTAGCATAAATAAAACTAAATTAAAAAATCACAAATTAAACAATCAAGACTTTGATACCACATGTTAGGATTTTTAATGTTAGTTATATGTTAGGATTTTTAAATTCATAAAAAATTCAATTTCATGACCCAAAAATTCATAAAATTCATAATGACAAAAATCTTTGAATTCATGATTTTCATATACTCATAAAATGAGATATACATATTTGTATTCATGATTGTAGAATTCGACAAAAGAGATGAAATTTCTCTCTCTAATCCTTTTTACTTTCTGCACTTTTTGATGGAGAGAAAATATACATTTCTTATTGGAAGAGAGAGAACTCTTCTCTTATTTATCAAAGAAAATATAAATGTCTCTAAAGAATAGACACAATATTTTTCTTAATTATCCATTATTAATCACTATTCATCAGGGTGTTTATTGACCAATAGGATTTATGATAATTTAATTTATTAATAAAAATGAAAGAATGTGGTGTCTATTTGGAAGAGACATGACCCTTTTCTCTTTAATTAATTAATTAATATTATTAAAATAAATGACGGTGGACCATAAAAATAAAATAATGAAAAACTAAAAATATCTAATACTTAGATTTTAATTTATATATTATAAATATATGCTATAAAATGAATGTTTCATTTTTAAAAATTAAACTGGTGTCCTTTTTAATTAATTAATCATGTAAATAACGTTATATACTTAAGTATAGACTTTCTATGTGTATTCTAACAAAAAAAATAATACAATGATCAAACTCACTTATTAAAGTGGCTGAACTAAAGCAACCCACCGAAGTGGTTGAATTTTATATTCTTAGTAGAGGTGAGCTAGCCAAACAGAGGAGGGACAACTAGGATAAAAACTATATATGATCATCATTATTAGTAAGGACATAAGCATATCAATTTTTAGAAAGTGACACCTGACATCCACATCACTTATTTTCATGAAGACACTATGAATGAATTTCATAATGTACTAAATGTATTTTCTACTAAATTTTTAATTATAAAAGTGCATTTAATATGAGAGAAGGAGGATCCAGGATATTCTCTCGCAGTGCCTCTCTCTCTCTCTCTCTTAAAACACTGTAATCCTAGAAACATCATCTAAGCCATTTTTTTCAACCTTGCTAGAGATTCAAGTTCAATGCACAATCCCTGAGACTAGTGCTATCACAACTCATCATCTGCTATCAACACGTGTTCGCCTCATTAAATAACTCGTGTTCGATTGTTCGTTAAGCAAACGAGCTGAATGTGAACAATTTTCTTAGCTCGATTTATAAATGCGCCGAACATGCACAAATGTTTGTTCATGAATGTTCTATTATTTTCACTCGAAATAATTAAATAAGAATATTTTTTTGTATGCGGATATATAAATACATAGGATTCGGTGGTATGCTTGTAAATATTCCTCAAATTTGGCTGGCGCCTGCGCTCCCTCATTCCGTAATGGGTGTTAAATGTGTAAATACATAGGATTTGTCGCGTTTTTATGTAAGTTGGATTAAGGGGAGAGTTGGCCTTGCGGTTGCTATGCACGTGCTAAAAATGTGGAGGGGGATCGCAGATATCGCACATAATTCCATTTATCTTTTGTCCTACATCGGAAAGGAGGGAATTTTTCCGTCTTAAAAAAAGTTAAAAATAAACTCTCCAATGCATCGAAAAAATGGACCGTCAGAATTTCGGATTATATTCATAAAAATAATTATTATTTTTAATTTAATAATAATAAAATAATTAATTACATTTTTTTTGGCTCATGAAAATGAGCAAATTAAATTCAAACCCAAACTTAATTTCAACAAAATTTGGATTTGCTCAAGCTTTACGTAGCTGATATAAATATAAAAAAGAAAATTGAGGAGGTAAGAATGTAAATATATAGGAATTGAGTGGTATTAATGTAAACGCCCAAACAAGAGAGTAAAAAAAGAAAAAGAAAAAGAAAAGACCAATCAATCTACTGCGTCTCTCTCCTTCAGCAGACAACCTCGTGTTCGATCCGTGCCTGGAAGGAGCACCCGAATCTCAATCCCTCGCCTCGCCTCGCCTCGCCTCGCAGTTCTCTTTCGGCATTCAATACAAGATTTTAGGTATGCTTTGAAGTCCTAAGAGATTTCTCGTTTCTGAACTGGTCATCACAATAGATCGGTTTGTATTGGGGTTTGTTCTAAGCTCTCGTATTCTGAGTTGCCGATTCATTTGGGCGGTCTTTTCGAGATTGGGGACTGATTGTCCTTGGAATTATTAGGGTTTGGAATTTTTTTCTGGATTGGGGGACGATGGATGCGAGCCGAAGGGCTGTAGAATCTTATTGGAGGTCTCGCATGATAGATGGAGTGACTGCGGATGAGGAGAAGGTTGCGCCCGTCTATAAAGTCGAGGAGATCTGTGAGCTTCTGCGGACTTCTCATCCGAGCATCGTTAAGGAGGTTTCGGAATTCATTCTTAAGCGGCTTGATCATAAGAGTCCAGTTGTGAAGCAGAAGGTATGCATTTTAAACCGATTTAGAAGTCTGAATGCATCAGTAGCTGTGTTATTGGAATTTGTGTTTTCTTGTGCCTGTTGTTTGTTATCAGTATCAGTGATGCGTTGTAAATCATGAAGTACCTGATTAGTACCCTAGCTGGAAACTATATACTCTTCAAAATTGAAATAATGCACGAAATTGTATCTTTAGGGCCTGCCTTTGTATGCGGAGATTGACACTATTATTTGCTTTCATTATCATTGCTTCTGGCAGTTGGTTGAATTAGGATAGCATTCATATGATAAACTTGCATTCTGCTTAGGGTTAAATTTCTCTTTTTTATCAACTTTTTGTAGATTTGTTTGTGAATCCTTTGAATAAACTTGGGCCCATTTGATATCTTATATAGTGTGGAATAATATTAACAAGACCTAAATATTGCAGTTTCTTTGAAGCATTTTGATGTTGTTTCCATTGATTCCATTGAACTGATAACAGGCTCTAAGACTTATCAAGTGTGCTGTGGGTAAATCTGGAGCAGAATTCAGGAGGGAAATGCAACGGAATTCAGCTGCTTTGCGCCAACTAATTCATTACAAGGGAAATTTGGATCCTTTGAAAGGGGATGCTCTTAACAAATCTGTTCGTGATACAGCTCAGGAAACTGTTTCTGCTCTCTTTACTTCTGATGATAATAAAGCAACAGCTCCAGTTGAAAGCATCAATAAGCGTATTGAAGGCTTTGGTAATACGAATTATGAGATGCCAGTGGAAGAGAAGAAGTCTTTTCTCAGTGAAGTTGTGGGCCTTGGAAGTGCTTCTATCATTCAAGGAATAACATCCCTCGCTGTTTCCCATTCATTGAAAAAAAATGATAGTGGGACTTACCGGAGCCCCAATCTGAGGAGGTCTCTAACCACAGAAATAGATAGCAGGGATATATATGAACCAGTAAATGAGCATCATGGTGAAACATGGCAATCATCTGGATCATCAAGGAGTGCATCTTCCAGTAGTTGGAATCTCGATTCAAGAAATAGCGTGATAAGTACATCAGTTAATGGGGAGAATTCTGGTCACGCTGTGGTTAGGAGTCATGAGGAGAGGCTTTTAGAGACAATTGTGACTTCAGGAGGCGTACGGCTGCAACCTACTCGGGATGCTCTCCAGGCCTTTCTCACAGAAGCATCAAAATTGGACCCACTTGCTATGTCCCGTGCAATTGAAGTGAAGCTTCAATCTCATTTATGGCAGGTAAGTTACTGCGATTATTATGATGGTTTTTGATTTACATCTTTCTGTTTATTTTCATGCTGTTACATTGAAAATTTGGTGTTAAAGCACTTTTTTTATTCTAGATATCATGGATATGCTTTCATATAGTTAAAGATGAGGAGTCAGAGGAAGATTTATTGGATATGTTGTGTTTCTTGTCATATTTCTTTGGTGCATGTACTTCTATAAATGGAGCAAACGGAGGATTCTCTCATCCCATTCTAGAAGGAAAAGCATTTATGAAAGCGTTGTGGCTAATATAATCTTGTGCATATACACAAAAGTAGTTCAGGTGTATTTGTTCTAAAATAGTTCGAACTTAGAGTAAAAGAACGTGAAAACTAAGTAGTACACAAAAATTTGCTTCTTGTGCTTTCTAGAATTTTTTACATATTTAACTACTGTGCAGTTTGTTTCTTAACATGCATATGCTTTTTTATATTTAATACTAATGGTCCCGAGGAGTCTGAAGAAGATTTTGGATGTGTTGTTATTTTATCAGGTTATTATTGGTGCATTTACTTATATAATTGGAGTAAACAAAGGATTCCTTCATCCTCTTTCAAGTTTAAAATGAAAATCATTTGTAAAACATTTCAACTAATATAATTTCATTTATATATGCAAAATAAATTCAAATTTTAACCTAATGTTCTCATCTAGTTCAAACTTAGAGTAAAAGAATGAGAGAGCATCAAGTGAAAAGTAGTAAGCAGAAATTTGCTTTTTTGTGCATATTTTACTACTGTATAATTTCTTTCTTCATTACTTATGTTTCTTTTTGAAATGGAAGCTATTTATATTAGTATCTATCATGTTTGCATCTCAATTTAATTCCACTTTGAACCTGCTCATATTTGTGTTATGTGTTGTTGAGGAGCATATATTAGTAACATAAATGGATTAGAAAGTTCATTGCTAAGTAATTAAAAAAACAAGAAAGAAGAACTAAAATGGTAAGATGCACTTGAACCTATGGAAAAAGATATTGGAGTTATATATATTCTTTTACATGGAGCAACGATATAAATAAGAACTAGAAGAAAGGAAGAGTTAACGTTGGCTCTTTCTTCCCTTTCCGTTAGGTTATTCTTTTCTTCTTAATCCATTCATTTTATTTTTATGGTTAAACCTTTTCTTTTTTTTTTTTCAACCAACGAGGTTTTCTTATTTTTATGGTTAAACCTTTTCTTTTTTTTTTTTTCAACCAACGAGGTTTTCTACTGCTATTTTCTGGTTTTATGTGATGGATTATCCTATAAAAAAGAGTGGATATTGTGATACCAGACTGGCAGGCAAAAGCAATAACATGAATGGGATTCACGTTAAAAGAGATTAATAGTAACAAATAACGAAATGACCATAAAAATTATCTCTGCTAATTTGAACAATTCTTGAATTTGATTTAAAGTAGCCTGCTTTCAATAATTACATGCAAAAAGTCCACCTAAAAATCAGTTTTTGGTCCTAATTGATTACAAATTATTGATGTTGTTACTACAGTCCTTGGATTAAGCTGGAGGAAGCTGTCAATGCATATTTAGGCTGAAAACAACTTTCCAATTTCTTGTTATAGGTGGCTGTTTCCACTTGTTGGTAACACTGCTGCGAATCTATAATTTTTAAGTTTCTTAGGTAGTTAATCATCCAGGAACAAAACAACAATTGTGCATCAAGAAGATATGCAAATAAAGAAAATAGACACCCGGCGCTGATAAGATTCTTGATCAATAATTCATATCGGTCATGTTCTTCTTTTTTTTTTTTTATTAGCAACTAGATTCGGGAGTTAGAACTTGTAATTGAAGTGGAGTTATTCTCTGTTATGGATCTTAATTCAGGAAAGCTTCAACTGATTTGTTGTTGAATGGAGTTTATGTGAATCGTTTACAGTTGTTGAAACTCATCTATGAAACATAATTCTTCTGTTGAGTTTTCAAATGGCGACCTGCTGTTAGTGAGTCCAGAAAAACACGGTAGTCAATTGCTCATAAGCAGGTCAAATTTATTAATGTTCAGAAGGTTAGAAATTGAGAACCTGATAAGGAGGCTACTCTGAGCTCACACTTCAGTACCTTCCTATTGTTGTTACATGATGACAACCGTATGGGCAGGATGCAATTTTGTGTTGTGTGGATGTTGGAAGGGATAAATAGGATTAGGAATGAACTTTCTAGATCATTCCACATTCCGACATTGACACGTGATAGACCGGAAGTGGTTACTAGGTAAATCATATTCCTGTGATTCTAGACAGTTCGTCCACATCCTTCATAGTTGCTTGCAATTTCTTTTTAAAGTAGAGGAATTCTCAATTCCTGATAGAATAGTGGTCAAAGGTCTGGTTCACAATGTGCAATTGGATCCACCATGTGATCAAAACTCTCCAATTTAACTGCATTGAAAGAGATTTCAATTTGATCGAATCATCTAGTTATATATTGTACTGTTTTATCTCCAATACCTTTTATCTATATTTTTTTAAATTTTTTATTGTTTTCATATCCTTTTTATTTACTTTTTTTGGGTTCGTTAAATAGAACTCCTCTTTGTAGCTGCATTATTGATTTCAGCATCAGATTATTCAGGTGCTTTCTTACAATCGTGCAAGGGTGGTTGAATATTTTGATATTTCAGAAATATCAATCATTCTTTTTTGATTATTTTTCTTACTCTTTGATATACAAATAACTTGTCTCTTATATCTGAAGATACTTTCTTACACTTATTAACATTAATTTTTTAGACGCATCAGGATGACTTATAAGGTGCTTCTTAGCTCGGGATATAACTTCATTTGTCTCTTTATCAAAATAAATACATTGTGAGAAGATTTCAACTTTGTATATTTTCAAGTTAGATTTTTTTTCTTGAATTTGAATCAGTCATCACTAAAATTTTTCCATATACTAAGTTATTAATTACACATGTAGAATTAAAATGAACAAAATCTTTTTAGCAATTTGTTATTTCCACCATAAGAAATGAAAATTCAAATGTAATGAATTTGACCAAATAATAATCCCACACAAAATCAATTACAAACAATTAGATAAAAATAACTAATGTAGATGTTACAAATTTGAAGAATTAGGCCTCTTGTCAATTTGAAGATTCATTCCTCATCTCACAAAAAATCTAAGACGTCTTGCACTCTTTATTTGTTATGATGGACTCATTGTTTCCTATATTTACCTTAGGCCCATCTTAATAGTCCATATTTCCAATGTCTGTAGATTAAATTAGGCCTGTTTGTCTCTATTAATAAATCTAAGCCCTATCGAAACAAATAGCTAATGAAAAAATAGTTTTGGATCATTCAGTTGCCCTACTGGCCTGCATATGATGACTAAGGAGCAGCTTCAATTCATTGCCCCACAGATAAGTTTAAGCATCTTTTTCCTTTTTTAAAGATTTGCGTTTTACTCAAAAATAAAAAAAATAAAAAAAAATAAAAAAAAATAATAAAATAATAAAAAAAAAACTAAAAGTTTGAGGTTTTATTGGAACTTCTGCTCCAAGACTAAGTGGATACGTGCCAACCACCTTTTTTTGTTGGGGCACTTAGGCTTGGCCCCACTAAAATCTCTTGCTTTTTGGTATTTTTTGGGCAGTATAGCATTCTTCATTTTTTTGCCTTGAACAGACTGAAAGTTCCGGTTTTTCCCACCCTATTTTGGAGCATATTTCTTCTACTTGTAAAGAATAAGATATTCTCTTGAAGCTCTGGAACCTTATGATATCAAATTAATTTTTTTGAAAGATTAAATTAGTTGAGAGCTTATTCGACCCCATAACCTTTCTTAGATAAATGACTAAGTTTATTACTAATAATTAGCAGTTTAGCTTAATATTGATCAAACCATGGATCAAGGAACAGTAGTATTGGGAAACAACTAGGTCAAATCTGTATTTTCGTGTTTGTTTCTTATCAACTCAAAGGCTCATATCATATCCCTTTCTTCTGCTTGTTTATAACTTCATCTACAATGCAAGCGTTGAAGGGCTCCTTGAAGATCTTGCCACCTATGTATTCACTGTTGCACCTTTCATTGCTTTTCATTCCATTGATGAAAACACAAGCATTAGAAGAAAAAAACGTGGACATTTATAGCAGTGCCCTTTGGATAATTTATGTTATCGTGGATTGAACTCATTTGCTATATAGAAGAAAACTTTTGAGCCTATATTAATGCTTTCAATAACAATGGAACTAATTGAAGCATCTTGCAAAGCTTAATGATCCGATTTAATTTACTTCTTCATATTCATATTAGCATCTTTCTTAGAAGTTCTCATTTTGTAACGACAATACCATTTTCAAAGAAATTTATCCTCATCTTCGAAATGAAAGGTGTATGATCGAATATCTTTTAGGGATTATGTTCTTTTCCAGGACTAATACTTCAAAACGTTTGAAGTAAGCATGGGAACTTCTATTGATAAAAATTGGTGGACATAGAAAGTTACTGAGGAAATATCTTTATGTTTTTTCTTGGAATGGTTTCTGGTGGTTTAAAGTTGAGAATTTTCATGTTGAGAACATGGTATTAAGCATCTTGATTGTGAGAATACTGCTAGCCAGCTTCGTTTTAATGCCTTTTCAACTTCATAAAAATGTTACACTGTTTTGCTGTATTTACTATTCATTTATTACTATGTTTGGGGTTTCTTACAAGTATTTTCTGAAGTAATATTATATACCGTAATGCACCATAACTATAAATAGCTTTGCTAAATATATATATATATTTTTTCTTCTTGATTTCTAGGTCCGAATGAAGGCAATCTGTGTCCTGGAATCAATTTTGAAGAAACAAGATGATGATTATTGTTCTATTATTGAATCTTATTTCAGTGAAAACAACGATACTGTGGTTAAATGCTGCGAATTACCTCAAGCTTCACTGAGGGAGAAGGCAAACAAAGTAATAACCATAATGGGTGATATGATCATCCGTATCTAGTGTTTCTCTTCTTTTTTCTCTTTACTTCATGTATTTAATTTTATTTTTTAGAATTTGAACTTCGTTATTTTTACTTTTTTTTTTTTAATTTGAATTTCAATGTTTGCGCATTGTTTTGGGATAGTAGATTATTCACTTGTTTTTTTTTTTGCAAATGGTTACCTATAAGTGGGAGAATCTAAGTACTTAAGTCCATTACATCTGATGGAAAAAAAAATTTTTATGATGCTATCTGTGCAAAGCTTCTGTTTTTTTCATAGGAGGGACTGTTTTTTTCATAGGAGGGACTGTTTTTTCATAGGAGGGACTGTTTTTTTCATAAGAGGGACTGTTTTTTTCAGAAGAGGGGAATGCCACTGTCCAGAGTATTTAGTTTTGATATTATGACCTCAAGTGTAAGTTCAAAATTGTAACTCCTCTTAACATCACTAAAGTTATTTGCGTGCGAGATTGCAAAAATTTTAAGTTCATTTGATCATCAATCAGCTGTATTAAAAATTTAAAGACAAAAGGCTTCAACTGTGTTTGATAAGATAATTGTGATTTTAAGGTTTAAAGTCTTTTGTAGGGCTGTCAATATCGGGCCTGACTTGAAACCAACATGAAAATTATAGTTTGGACTATCCTATATAATATTTGGGTGAGGTTCAAGTTTGCATAAGTTACTCAAAAAAAGATGGGTATGGTTTAGGTCTTGCCAGCTTTGGTTTGGGTCCCAAAAAATGACGACTTAGCTGTTTAATTCATTATTTTAAAAAAAACTCATGTAAATATAAAATTTTTTATTTTTAATTATTTGACTTGTGCTTCCAAATCGTGTTACCATGTTCATTTTTGGTCGATTTGATTATAACCTGTAACAATTTTAATGTTTTTTGTCGTTTTGGTTGAGTTGGGATTGCTGATTTTTTTAAATAAATTTGTTGGTACCTGATTGAGTAAATTTTTGTTGAATTGTGTTTGGGTCAGACTCAAACTTTACTAGTGAACCCAAATTCTAGTCTTTTAAATGGCTTAGAATTGTATACTTGCGTTCTTGATGATATCTTGTATGTATTGGATGATTTGGATTGGCAAAATTCAAGGTTAAACCTAGACTTATAAAGTCACATCCCTATGTCATCTAATAGTCCTTGTAATTTGCATGTGCATGATGGATGATTAAATCATTACATGAATTGATGAAACCTGATCTATATGTAATTCTTATGTTATAGATTGCTGTCGATAAAGTTACTTTGATTTCAAAATTTTATTAGGTTATAGATACTAAAGAAGAGAATACTCATTTTATTTGTACGCTCATATTGTTGGGTTGTTGTGCTTGCCTTCAATTCTTTGATCTAGGAAGGCTTTGCGACTTTTGTTGATTTGATATTGTAGTCAGTTGCAATTTTTGTAGCTAGTGTGGTTTGTAGCTTTGTTTTTATTTTTATTTTTAAATTTTATTTATTTTTAAACAATAATATAAACGTGGTTTGCTGCTTTGTAATGATTCGTATAGTATGCTTTTAGAGTTGTCACAACTCTTCTCTTCGGTTCTATTTTGGTTTGTGGTGTCTTTGCTATGCTTATGGAAGTATTTTCGTTGATGGTTTTGAATTACACTAGATTTAGAACATATTTAGTTGTGTTTGGCTGACCCTGTGTTGACCAAGTAATAGTTTTCAAAATGGAAGATTTTCGGTAGAATTGTAGGGGCAGATAACTTTGGGATATGAGTTGTCTGTATATGCCAAATACGAAGGCATGGAATATTGTTTTTGATTAATAAAATTTATTCTTTCTATGTTTTAATCTTGTGAGTGTTTGCAGGATATGAGATTCCAAAGTATTGTGCAAGTGCAATAGTTAAATTCTGGTTGAAATAATTTGCTTGTGCTAACGTGTGGCTTGTATTTTTTTCTACTTAGTGAATTTGTTCTATTTATTTTGGTGCTGAAAGGTCTTAATTTTTGTTAACTTTATTACAATTAGGATTTTCATTGCGGTATAAACTTGGATTTAGCAATTGCTAAATTATCATTATTTTCAAGTTTACGTGCAATGAAAATGATTTTTTGTGTAATAGTTCTAGTTCACATGATGATCGACAATAATCTTTGATACCATTTGATGCATGATGCTTTTTATGGTGTAAGTCTGATGCACAGCAAAGATTATGCAATGAATGAAAATTAAAATCAAGGAAGTTATGATATAAGATGGATAATGTTTAAAAGTATATTACTACTAATTGCAGATATCATCTTGGGAAACTTTCATACTTGCTCAATAATTTGAAGGAATTTTTTCAAAAATTACTATCTCATGAATTTTGAAAAAGTTGAAGTTGCAGAACCAAAACTAGTGAGCCGCGCTTAATTATTTTGGCGAAGTATTGTAATGAAATGAATTGAACATGGGTTGGTGTGGACCTAAAGAGAAATATCTTCACTTTAGTGCATATTAAGACTAATTTCATAGTCAATTTAGATGCTGTAAATAAAGTAGTTCTTGTGTAATGAATATCTTGCAATGTTTAGACATCTTGTGGCTGCTTCTAGTTTGCCTCTAGATCATTTTCTTTCAGCTACTTGTTTCATTAAAGGGTCTATGTGAGTGTTTAAGAATGCATTAAGCTAGAATAAACTGAAAATACTATTGAAGGCTTTATTTAGACATTTAAATGTTGATTTATTAAGATCATTTTATTTGGACTATTCCAAATATGATTAGTGTTCCTAGAGAAAAATCAATGTCATTTTTTATGAAGGTAATCTCAAAAATCAATGCCATTTTTTATGAAGCCAATCTCATATGTGCTTACACATGAATCATGCAGTCATTTTTTATGAAGCCAATCTCTTATGTGCATACACAATAATCATGCATAGTTTAATAATTGCAATTGAAGAGGTTGTAGTTTATTAGTTTGTGAATATATTTTTGAGATCGAGAGGGAGGGAGGGAGGGAGGCAAATTAAAGTAAGGCTAACTATGTGGTAGTTAAATAAATATAATGAATGGAAAATTCTGCCCAGGTTTACTTAGGTATAGGAATAAGCTTTTAGATGAAATGAGTGGCAGAACTTGTAAACTCAAGCTCAATAAGTTTTCACTACAACTTATAGTTGATGTCAATTGTGTCAATTTACGCCAAAGCTATCGAAATTAAATCCAATCACAACATAATGGTGTACATAGATAGAATAACACGATGTGTATCGTGCTTTTCATGGCCTGATTTGTCTTCAAGTTTTACATGATCAGCCTAGATCCTTCCTTGTCTCCCTTGTTTACTTTTCTAGATTATGTTAGATAAACTTGACTTTAGTCATCTTAAATAAATCTTAGGGGACCTTAACCAACCCTAGATACATAAGACATTTTGAATTTGCATCCAGCCATGTTCTAGTTAAGTCAGCATAGATTGTTCTTAAAATTATATTTGATGATGGAATTTTGTTCTCCATTGATGGTGGATTCTATTCTCGTGATGATTCTTGAATTACATTGCAGGAGATTCAACAAATATGCCTTGTTTTATATAATGAATATTAAATGCTAAATTTCTAGTTCAATTTCTTAAGCCAAATATATTGATGCAGGATTCTAGCCATGCAGCTCCTGTAGTTGAATTCTGATATTGTAGCATTTTCAAGCATTCCCAAAGAAGTTGAATGTGCATAATTAGCTGCTTTGAATTGGAAATCTTAATTCATTTTATACTACTACTTTCATTTCATCATCTTGCTAAGATTAGGGTACTTAACATCTTAAACATCCTATATCATCGATCTTGGGTATTTGAGTTGTCAAACAAGCTTGGGTGCATAATGCAACTATTTTAATCTCACCCTCCCTTTCCTGCCAACCATGAAGTTATCAAATCGTTGCTACACTATCATTTTAGGTGCAGTGATTTACTGAACATCACACTTATCTTTTCACCGTTGGCTTTGCTATTTGCTTATTTATAAGGCTTCTTATTGTTATCCTTATTTTAATTTATTTGAATCTAGCTCGCTCATCAGAACTATAATGGAATGAATAAATAAATTTATTTTGGCTTTCCATGTACAGGTCTTAAATCTCCTGGATGGGGACCAGCAATCTTCTGCTGGAAACAAGGATGACTCAACTGATGGAAAATCCAAGCCAGTTCCAACTGTTCATATGCCCGATTTGATCGATACAGATGGTCTAGATGATGACAAATCCAGAAATCCTTCAAAAAATCTCGTTGATCAAGGCATCGGTGATTTAACATCAGCTCCTCTAGTGGATTTATTGGAAGGTGCCCCTATTTCCGACGTAAGCATCAGCAAAAATGAAAATGAGGATGATCCATTTGCCGATGTCTTGTTCCATGTGACTAACGAGAAGAAGCAGACTGACATCTTTTCAGGATTGACAATAGATGATAAAAAATCCAATCAGATTTCTCTCAATGAAAAGAAGCCCGAGTTTGACTTTTTTGGTTCCAACTCTTCGCATGTTGAATCCAATGGTACGAAAAATGTTCAAGATTTGATGGTTGGACTATCTAATTCAGATGGGAGCAGTCAACAGAGCCAACTTCCTCCCAATGGGACTTCTCAGGGTATTGCTGGTTCAAATGCTTACTACTCTATGGCTGCCATGCAATATAATATGCAGCCAAATATTATGTTTAATCCAGCTCTTGCTAATCAGTCCATGAACTATGGTGCAATGGGAGCGTATATTGCTCAGCAGCAATTACTTTATCAAAATATTGGGAATGCGAATCCTGGTTTTATCAATGCTGCTGGCATTGCCACGGATGCTGGTTACTCTTCTTCAGCACTCCCTGATATTTTTCAGATATCGAATAATCCAGTTCATAGCCATGGTGCAATGATGAGCAACTCGAAAAAAGATGAGACGAAGGCTTTTGATTTTATTTCGGTATGCTCTCTAATCTTCATATGTAATTCTATTTAGGGACATTTACATACATGCTCCATAATTGTTTTTTATTTACATAACACCTAAATTTTGCATTTTACCTTTATACCATTGAAATATTTCATATCACATAAAAATATCACTATTTTAACTTTTTAAAAAGTAAATCTTTTCATGCATGTTAAGATGGCATATATGTAAAAATAAAAGTTTATATATTGGACATGCAAATAAAAAAGAATTGAGTGGCATGCATATAAATATTCATTCCATTTATTATAGCTAGTTCTTTCATTTTGTCATGATTAATATATTAGGAAAAAATATTTTCATCTTCTACAAATCTATAACCGTTTGGGGCCACATAATTTGTGATTTATACATCACCATGCCCATATATATACACTATTAAAATATGCTCAGTATACAGAACACCTGGTCTTAAAAGCTGTGCCACGTTATAGATCATAAGAGTAGCCAATAATGCTGTTTGGTAGTATAAGTATCAATTATGAATCAGATTCACTTAAATGTTTCAATTAAACATAATGTAGATACCATTATGCATTAAATCAACATCAAACAAGAATTTGCTTGAGGAGCTCCAGCGTAATGTTTTTGAAGATTGTCTTATGAAAGGGTTCTTTAATGGCATTAGTTGGACCTTAGTTTTTGCAACATATTCAATTTTGTTTCTCCTTATTTTTTAACAGGAGCATATGTCTGCTGTGCGCGATTCGAAGAGAATACGATGATTGGTATTGAACAGAGGGATGATCTGCTGTTATTTAGAGTGTTTGGTGAATGTTTTTTTTAACAATTTGAGTAAATTATTTCTTCCATAATGTATTTAAGACGTTGTCTAGTTATGCTCCTACCCTTAGGAATATGAAAAACCAGAAATCATATACATTGAGAGGGATGTTGGGGAGTGTTGTAAAGAACTTTTGAAATGAAGTTAAAATGTACAATTTGCATTCTTTGGGTCTTTGTAATTTGTCTAAATATTTTTGGTATTTATGATGTGCTTGGCCATTTATGGATGTCTTTTCTGGTACAGATTGTGTGTATCGTATATGATATGTTATGATAATAATGATGTGTTCAAAATGATGAAAATGAAATAAAAATTTGTCCTCCATTTGAATAGATTGCACCCGTAGATTGTGTTCTATATATTCTGTAGGTTTCATGTGACTTTGATTGTTCACTTGTAGCTGGAGAAAAAGCAGGTTTAGTGGAACATGAATTTGACAAGCCTTGAACTCGACTTCTTTTTATGTTTCAATCTTGGTTAAACTGTGCATGTTGTAGGGTGCGTTTGGGGGCAGCTTGTGCTTATTCAGATAAGCCACTTATCTGGAAACGTGAACCACGGGATTCAACCCGCATTCCGCGTTTAGTGTAAAAAATCAACTACGTTTCAGATAAACTGCTCAAACGCAGATTTCAAACGGTGAGTCGGCGTTTTCAAAACGCTGCAGCTTATTGTTGGGTTTAATTAAATGAGTTTCTTTTGATGTAATACTCTGTTGGATTGAATGGATTTTTTATTTAAATTTGTGCTGATTAAATGTTGCACACTAACAAATAAGTGATAAGGTACAAGTGATTAAATCTTTTTTTGTGGAAATTTTGCATAGGGGAAAAAAAAATTCATGAGGACTACTCTAGACAATAATTTTCTATGTGAATTGAGATTGTAGTACAATGTTCTTCTTTTTTTTATATGGTTAAGATATTAATTCATGAAGGTATTAAAAATGCATCTATAATTTTTCATCTATTTAAAGCTATTTGGTAGAATCTTATATGATGATATTAAAAAAAGATTGAATACAATCTCATTGTTTATATTGACGTTTGTATTTTAAATTTAAGCTAAAAGTTTTATAGATTATCATCTTTGTTTGTTTGGGTGGCAATGATCGTGAGTGTTTGCACAGTAAAATTCAAGTTGAGGACTATGTAGGATTTAAATATCTTTTGAGTTTCAGGTAAATTTTCTTATGTTTGCATGAAGTTTTTACAGACATAGATTGCCTGAAGTTATTAATTAAAGTATTTTTAGGTTTTAAGTATGTTTCAACCTGAATATTCAAGTTATAATGCCTTTATTTTGACCGTGGCAACCATCACACAGGGTCCTTCCAATGGGTTGAATATTGCATTGGGTTCCCTTTCTACTGTTTTAAATATGCGTGAGATTAGATCTCGAACATGGATAAGTCAGGATTTCACTTGTTGATTAAAATGACTCCTTGGTGATACAAAGCAAGTAGAAGTGAGGCAACATCATGTATATTATAGAGGATTAAAGTTGATAGCGGAACATATCCTCATTACTTGCATCATTAAGCAATTTGACTTTGGAGCTTAGGATACTAATATTGACATGAATAATTTTAGATCTCGAACATGGATAAGTCAGGATTTCACTTGTTGATTAAAATGACTCCTTGGTGATACAAAGCAAGTAGAAGTGAGGCAACATCATGTATATTATAGAGGATTAAAGTTGATAGTGGAACATATCCTCATTACTTGCATCATTAAACAATTTGACTTTGGAGCTTAGGATACTAATATTAACATGAATAATAGTCTTTAATTAGATTATGAGGTATTATGTTCGTGGGAGTCTTTGCTATAGTGCAATAAGTCGGGGAATTAGACATGTCTTTAATTGTTTGAGAATGGTTTGGTTTGCAATTATAATTTCTTCATTTGCTTAAAGATGTGTGAAAAACTATGTGGATTAATTGAATATGAAGATATTCATCAAGAAAAAAGAAGTAACGGACATCTTATCAATGAATTCAGGTGTCATTATTTGTGATAGTATTTTGTAGAAAGGCCAAAACAATAAATTCTTTCCTTCAGAAAAAAAAATATTTAGAATCTTTCAATAATCATTACAAGTGTTCTTATTGTCATCCACTCCGTGAAACAGGTGATTACCAAAATGATGAACTTTTGTTGTTGTTGGTTATGATGAAGTGTCTTTCGATATTGATTCCATTGAGTGAAAGCTCTGGTTTTGCATAAAAATACAAGTTTTGTTGGTGGAATATGAGCGAGATTAGAATGTATTTGATAGTATAATGTGGAAGAATATGATTAAGGCAAGAAAATATGCTGAGAAATTTATCTATTGGGATTAGGGCTGTCAATTTGCGTTAAGCGCTCGAAAATAAATAAATAAATAAATACATAACAAATATTCATTATATTAAATATTATAAATTATAAGTAATTAAATTTTTTTAAAAAAATTATCTTATGTTATATAATTAAATTCTATTATAATATATAACAAATTAATAATAATAATATATTAATATTAATTATTAAATATTATATATTTATATAATAATACAATGTAAGTTATATAATTATAATATATGATATATAATATATCATATAATCTAAAAATCCCTAACCGGCCTCCCCAATCTCCATTCGCCTCTCGAAACTTCTTACCTCTCGACACTTCGGGTTCGGCTGCCTCTCCCGTTTAGAGTTCTACTCTTCTCATCTTCTCTCGCGACGACTTAGGGTTTGTCGTCCCTTTTCTTGTGCTAATATCTAATTCTGTTCTCCTCTGATAGTCAGTGTTGCTCGATTACTTGGTGTTCTTGCGTGGTTTGTCGCTATTCTTGCTTCGTTCGTTGGTTGCTTGTTTGGTTACCTAGGTGTTATATCTGAATATATTTTCTCTAATATCTCTTATTTATTTTCGGGTTCACCTTTTATCATAAATTTTATTAAATTTCTTTTAGATTTATGTAGATTTTTTGAATGAAACCTAGCTTTGTAGGGTAATGAAACCTAGCTTTGGCTTTGTAGGGTTTTAGCAGCGAAATCTCGCATATTGCATTTTTATATGTATTTTTTTTTATTGGATGAGATCTGATATAAAAGAGTGTTTATCTTTGTAAAGCTTGGTCTTTATATCTAAATGTGTAAATCCACGCTGTCTCAGAATGAAATGGTGTTATTGTAACTAGAAATGCTTGGGAGTTGATTTTATAAATAATAAATACTTGGTGATAAACCAATAATTGCCGCTTTCATTTTTCACTTTTGAAAAATTAGCCTAGTGACTTGCTGAATTGGCTATGTTTGTATTTGCATATATTTTCTGGCTAGGACAATTGAAGAAAATGGTTGAAGATGAATTTGTAGTTACATCATAAACTGTTATGACAGTTTTTATGCCTTATACATGTTAAATTTCACTTGTTTTCTCTACGGTTGAAAAATTTCTTAAGGATTGAGAATATACTTCGATGGTTGGACTGCGAGGCATATAAATTTAGTTGATTTAGTTTCTAAAATTGTAACACAATGACTATCTTTTGTAAACGGTGCCAAAATGATCTGTTGACTATTTTGCAGGGGTCCATTTAATCACAAACTTTACTAAGTGCTACCAAGACTCATAAAATGAATCTGTTATTAACATCCAAAGAAAAATTATTTGCATGTGGAAGTTGAACACTCTCAAGTATGATGGAGGGAGAGTTCTCAAAACTACTATATTATCGATTCCAATAACAACAACTACTTCAGAATATGCATTTAGTACCGGTGGAAAAGTTCTAAATGATTACAGAAGTTCACTATCGACAAAGAAAGTGAATGCATTAATATGCTTGTCTAGTTGGATTAGATCTTCCTTGAGTCGTTTGAAAACATCTATGGTAATTGCTCTCAAGAATTAGCTTCTATAGTATATGTAGTTTTTAATCGTAAAAATAATATTTATATATCTTTCCTACCAGCAAGAATTAATAGAAGAGGAACAACTTGAAGTGGCTTTACCCGAGTAAATTGAGGTGAGGGAGGAAATGATGCTAAACTCAATGAGTATCCAATATTTTTGCTGGAATTATAAGTGTTGCTTTTTTTTTTCTTTTCATGTTCTCTAAAATTATGCAATTGGCAGCTGCTAGAAGCTCTTTGAAAGTGATGAATAGTAAGCTTGAGGAATGAACTTGTTGTGCTAACTGGTGATATTTTCACAGTGTGAAGGCTTTCATAGTGCTAATTAAGCTTTCTTCTTTCCAATTGGGATATTTTCACATCGTGAAAGTGTATAAATACTAAACTCTGATTATATCTGAATGTATCCAATTGTCACATATTGTTGACTAATTTTTAGTACCTACATGATATTCCTTTACAGGTTTTGATGTGGTCTGGAATCATCTGTTTGTTGCCCCATATTATGCATGTGTTATGGGTAATCTACATAGTTTATTTTTTTTAGAGGGAAAAGAAAGTACTAAAGTTTTTTTTTTGTGGCAATTTATATTCTTCCAATCTCACTATTCTTGTTAACGCCTAATTAGAAGCAATCTGGAAATTTGAATTAGCATGCTTAGAGTAGTAATTTTGGAGCTTGTGGCCACTTATGCTCTATTTGGTTGTTGTTGACTAAAGCATGTTATAGGTATTTGAAATTTCATATTTGAATGCTTAAAGGAGAGTTTTAAACTTCTTTTGACTACCTACTCGCTCTCCACTTTGCTGTCTTTTAATTAAAACATGTTGGATATGCTTGAAATTTCAGTGTAGCATGCTTAGAGTAATAGTTTTGGTGCTTGTGGCAACTTACTTATGCTCTACTTGGTTGTTTCTGACTAAAGCATGTTAGAGGTACTTAGAATTTCATATTTGCATGCTTTGAATTAGGTTTGGGAATGGTTGTGGCAATCTACATCCTTTCTATTTCACTGTTTTGGGTTAAAACATGATGAATGCAATTGGGATATTAATTTAGCATGCTTAGAATAATGGTTTTGGAGCTTTATGGAAAGTTATATGCTATTTATTTCACTGTTTTGTTGAGCAATGTTTAAGTGCACTTGGAGGTTTATGTTTGCACGATTAGGAGATTATTTTGGAGCCTTCCTTGCTCCTTGTTAAGTACTTCACCGTTTTCATTGAACCACACTTAAGTGCACCTGGAGCTTTACGTCGGCATGCTTAAGATAATACTCTGGAGTCATTCTTGCTCCTTA